GCATGCTTTGCAATATATTGCAAATGAATTATCTTTTTATGAACTTCAAGTTCATATTATCTTATTCGAGGATCGAGATGTATAAATAATAATTCATTCCATGTAACTTTTTCTCAACTGTTTATCATGTCTCTCCCTCATGTTAGAAAAACTAACTTGTTTCCTCAACTTTGAGAACTCATCTTTGTGTGTTACGGTGTTAATCATAATATACACCGCACATCAATAATAACAAGATGGAATTATTTGGTTCCTGACCCTGAACCACTTGTGAGGGGAGAAAATAATATACTTTCGTATACAACGTATATCAAACTGATATATATAACTTTGTTCTCATAAGCAATTATTTAGCTATTAAGTAGAGGCACTTAATTGTGAGAAAGCACGGGAGAAAATATATTATTGATGTATATACATATGTTACAATGAGCCCTATATATATACACACATAACATGTCTTACTCCTAATATATATTGGATTAGGGTTATTTATTTACTCCTATTTACATGACTATTCTAACACTCCCCCTCAAGCTGGTGCATATAAATCATATGTACCAAGCTTGTTACATATGTAGTTAATACGAGGACCAGTGAGGGACTTGGTGAAAATATCTGCAAGCTGATCATTCGACTTCACAAACTTTGTAGCAATATCTCCCGAGAGTATCTTTTCTCTAACAAAGTGACAGTCAATCTCAATGTGTTTAGTTCTCTCATGGAACACTGGATTTGACGCAATATGAAGAGCAGCTTGATTATCACACACAAGTCCCATCTGACTAATCTCACCAAATTTCAACTCCTTGAGCAACTGTTTGATCCAAATTAGCTCACATGTCGCCATAGCCATTGCTCGATATTCTGCTTCTGCACTAGACCGAGCAACCACATTCTGTTTCTTGCTCTTCCAGGACACCAAATTTCCTCCTACCAAGACACAATATCCAGACGTAGAACGTCTATCAGAAGGTGATCCTGCCCAATCAGCATCTGAGTATCCAACGATCTGCTCATGGCCTCGACCCTCAAACAATAAACCTTTGCCTGGAGCTGATTTTATATACCGAAGAATGCGAACAACTGCATCCCAATGACTATCACACGGAGAATCCATAAACTGACTCACAACACTCACAGAAAAGGAAATGTCAGGTCTTGTCACTGTAAGGTAATTTAATTTACCAACCAACCGTCTATATCTTGCAGGATCGCTAAGAGGTTCCCCCTGTCCTGGCATAAGTTTAGAATTCGGATCCATCGGAGTGTCAACCGGTCTACAACCTGTCATTCCTGTCTCTTCAAGAATATCTAAGGCATACTTTCGTTGTGAGATCACAACACCTGAGCTAGACTGAGCGACCTCAATACCCAGAAAATACTTTAGTTTGCCCAGATCCTTAGTCTGAAAGTGTTGCAAGAGATGTTGCTTCAATTTAGTAATACCATCCTGGTCATTGCCGGTAATAACAATGTCGTCAACATAGACCACCAGATAAATACAGAGACTCGAGGCAGAATGCCGATAGAATACAGAGTGATCAGCTTCACTCTGAATCATGCCAAATTCTCAAGCGGGTAGCTTTTCACATACATATTACCCCGCTACAAGTTGTAGTAATAGAAGATATTAAATCATTCCTTTATATATAGTCTCAATATAATCAACCGTTTTCGCGTATACTTTGGAAACTGAATAAGTTTCTTTGAGACTTACTACAACACAATACCTTATTGGTAATTAATTATGTTTCTCCAAAATAGTATAATTGGCTCTTGCAGAGTTCTCAATTAATTTGTAGTTTCACATATTCATCAACACCCATATGGTGAATATCTCTTTTAAAGAGAAAGTAATACCATTATGGTGGGGGATTTGCAGCGGTACCCACTTTTTATGCCACCTTTTAACCTATACCCTGTTTTTAAAAATTATTGATGTCGTAACCAACTAACAGAAAATCCGTGTTAATATGACCATTATACCCCTTCCAGAACATATAAAAGTGCGTCTCTCCTCCGTATTCACATATTAAAATTATAGATCTCCTCCGTATCTCCTCCATCAGTCAGTTCCTCCTGAGAACGCGTCTCGTATTCAAATTCCATATTCAAATTCAAATTCAAATACATTGTAAGTATTCAAATTCATCTCCAGAATTCAAAATAGTTTTTAAATTTTATGTTTTCTGGTTGTTTGACGAATTTCAGTGAAGGAATATAAATTCCATATTCAAATCAAATTCATCTCCAGAATTCAAAATGTTTTCTGATTAATTCACTGAATTCTAATTTAATGTGTGATATGTTAGTAACATATTGCACTAAAAACACTTCGGCTTAACAGCTGAAGTTTTTTATTTATTACTTAAAAACTTCAGAAGGAGCCTGAAATTTTACTCCTACACTGGTTAAATTAAAAAATGATATTGCACTAAAAAAACTTCGGCCTAACAGCTGAAGTTTTTTATTTATTACTTAAAAACTTCAGCATATTTTCCACATACACTGGCTAAATTAAAAATCATATTGCACTAAAAAAACTTCGGCCTAACAGCTGAAGTTTTTTATTTATTACTTAAAAACTTCAGAAGGAGCCTGAAATTTTACTCCTACACTGGTTAAATTAAAAAATGATATTGCACTAAAAAAACTTCGGCCTAACAGCTGAAGTTTTTTATTTATTACTTAAAAACTTCAGAAGGAGCCTGAAAATTTTCTCCTACACTGATTAAATTAAAAAATCATATTGCACTAAAAACTTCGGCAAGCACAAAACATTCAGCCAAAAAAACAAAACACAAAATCAAATCCAAAAATAATACCAAAACATGAAAAAAACTTCAGCTCCTATCCTAAAGTATCATTATCATCTGTTTAACTCTGAAAATTTTTAAAAATTTGAACGTCGAATCACAGAAGAATTTATAGAAATTACATTAACAACATGAACAACCTATCAAACTAAACCCTATCATAAATACATGAATATCAAAACCCAAAACCAGAAATTAAATCATAAAACAAAACCCAGAAAGTTAATGCAATGTACCTGTGATTAAATCGTAATATGGTAACAACGACGACTAGCAGTTAAAAATTCGAAAGAACGACGAAAACCGTTTGATTTCTGAGAAGAGCAAATCAAAAAACGCGAATAACGGGAGAGAGAAACAGTAGAGCACTAGCGTATACTTGGAGAGAAAGTAGTCTTTTAACAAAAAAAGGTAAAATAGTCTATTCAAATGGCTTTTAACAAAAAAGTGGGTATGGGTGCAAACAGAAAGACAAAGCGGGTACAGGTTAAAAGGGGGCGCCCAAATAGGGCGCCGCGTGCAATTTTTACCATTATGGTTATGGTCAAAATTATATGCAAGATCTGTTTCTTGTATTACCGTTGTCTTTTAACAATCACAATGCCAAAATATTTTGGCGTACAATAGGTACGTGACCAATGACCATTCATACCATAATAATGACATTATTTTCTTGTATCATCTCAAACCTCCTTTTAGAGGTGAATGCGGTATATTCACTACCACTAGCACGTTCATATTCTTTGAAGAATAAATATGTATTCATAAATCAGATGTTGTCACATTCACATCAAGAATGGACCATAATCATCTATATGTGCTTTACAAAATCTCATGTCAAATCGATGACAAATACTTTTCACAGAGTGAAAGATTCTTTTGAGAATCCTTATTGTTCTCATTACCACCAAATGATGACGATTATAATTTCGTCTATTGCCACGTCCATATCCATTGATACATTCATAGTAATAATTTTGTCTTCTTTCAGACTTATCACATACTGCTATCACATTCTCTTAAGGGAATGAGAATGGAGCAAATTCAATGGGACGGGTTTTCAATTCTTTGCCCACAATCATACATGAATTTGATCATGGCGAGGCATAGAAATTTTACCACTTCAGGTGGTTATAATTTCTTACAAACTCCATTAGAGTTATAATCAAACTTTGTTGTATTTGCTTGTATTTAAAATCAAAGTATAGAATAAAAGAGAAAAATACGGTAAAATACTTACCTTAAATCCAGAATTTAATCATGAAGGAAGTTTGTGGAATAATTCACAATCATTATGCTCAATCCCAAAGCTTGTACTCAATTGGTTAGAGTCTCGTGTTGATAACGTGTTATGAAACAATAAAAGAAGAAGAATAGTATTGCAGAAAAAAGTAGAGAGAGAGAATTCTTATTGATTTGGGGTGAATTACAATGGAATAGAACCCTCTATTTATAGGGAGAGAGTGACTTAGCCACCAAGTAATAAACCCTAGAATCTCCCTAAATATAGACATTCACCATAAATAAAATTCTATTTACAACATAAAGAAAATTGCATATGCGATAAGAAAAAAGGGACAATAACCACCTGAAGAGGGGGGGGGGGGGGTAGGGGGGTTGGTGAAGAAGAAAGGGATGAGGGGTGAGGAAGAAGGAGGAAGAAGAGAGGCGACCCATCTTTTTATTTATTTTTTTGTTACTTACACGCTTATAAATTGTTTTCTTTTTATTCTTTTGCCATATCAACTATTAAGGGAAAACTAATTCATCCCAATGTATTAGGGGTACACGAATGGAAAACTGAGTGTATTTTGCCTTAATTTTTTTTTGCTATTTTAGTTAGAATCAAGGTGTGTTTGGCATGAAGGAAAATATTTTTTAATTTTTTCATGTTTAATCGGCTTAGATATTTTGAAAAATATTTTTCTCGTGAACTCATTTTTTATTCAATTAAAAAAATTCATTTCCCGAGCAAAAGGATATAAAATATTTTCCAAAACTCTTTTTCAAGCTGTCACACCCTATTCCCCACCGCCACCAACCCCACCTACACCCCAATTACCCACCCTCACCCAAACCACCCACCCCCTATTCCCATCCCAACCCCGACTCACCCAACACCCCCTACCCCACCCCCCTACTCACCCCACCCCTAAAATTTTTTTTATTCACTAACAAATACTAATAAATATTTTGTGAAATTTTATTTTCACCCCTCAACCAAACATAGAAATTCATTTTCCAGAAAAACGTTTTCAAGCAAAATATTTTCCACCAATCACCCAAAACCCTCTTTCCTCTTTTCAAAACTTCATATTGTCCTTTCAATAAATTAATCAAACTTTCTGTATAAAAGTGTAATCACTATAATAGTAGGAGTATTTGTTTCTCACAAGTGCAAGCGATTATCAACTGTCACTTCACTAGAGAGTAAGAGATGTTCTGGAGAAACCAACGATGTCGAAGTGATGTTATTGATTTACCGCTCAGTCGTTCGTATCCACCGCCGTTAGTCTCCGTTGCTCCACCGGTTTGCTTCTTGCTGACAATCTTACGGTAATGTTTCTACTTTTGAGTTGGTTTTCAGTTTGTATTATGGAGGTATGTAATTAAGGGATGCATAGATACCTGAAACCTTTTGCGTCATTCATCATTTGGAGTATGTCACAAATCCTACTCCTTCCTTTCCGATGTAAGGTAAGGCTGCGTGCCATAGACCCTTCTGGTTCAGCCCCCGGACCCGCGCATAGCGGGAGCTTAGTGCACCGGACTGCCCTTTTTTAGTGCTCCACAGAGTTAAGGAACTACTTAACTTTTATATTGTATTAGTGATTGTGGAAGAAAAATATGGAAGTAATGGTTGAAAGGATAGTTTAGTGGAGAAAACATCGTATCAAAGTTTCAAAGATGAATAGTCTAATATATTTGAAAGCTTGAAAGTTGTATAGAAATGGAATCACGTTAGACGTTTTGGCACATCCTGAAATGGAAAAACTTTCATAAAAATTGGAATGAAGGGAGTTGCTAAAAGTTGAAATGATGTTACATTTCAAAGTATTTTAGTCTTTTCAAATAATCCGTTTCAAAAAGAATGACGAAATTCGAAATGCTAGGTCGAGAGTATCCAGTTTAATTAGACATGAATTCTTTAATTTATTGAATTAAGACATATTTAGAAACTACATAAATAGTACTATATGTCACAAATTATTTTGTAATTCAGCATATTATTAAAGAATATGAACAAATTTATAGTCGAAGGAAGAACTGTTTGATCCCCAAATAGTATCAGTGTCATATAAAATAAAACAAAGGAAGTATTGGAGAAGGTGTATGTAACTTCGGTAGTAGAATATTGGAAGTACAAAAGAACTTCGCATTAAATACAGTGATATTTGTTGAGGATGATTCCTACATCTTAATTAGGCGGAGATAACAATTATTAGTCATGAGGGAGCATAGTTATGAATTCATATTGCCTGGCAATGATCCTGTACTTTCCATCTGAAGAATTTGACTCTCTTTAAGAAGGTTTTGACTCTCATTAGCGTTCACTCTTCTGCCCTTTTAAGTTCATATTCCCGCCGCCCACCCGAAAGAGACGAGGAAGACTAACCGCCATCCTGCTTGAACCTTTGCTGCCTGAGTTATATAGCTGACTGCGAGAAGGAAGGTTCAAGATTTTAAGGTTCGGTTGGAATATCTAGAGTTGGCTTACTAATTGAAAATTCATGAATTTAAAATCCTACTTATTACAGGAAAAATGATTTTAAGTTCATAAAGTGCAGGTGAATTACAATCTAATGGTCATAATGGGCCCAAAAGTTTTTCTTGAGGATCCGGTGGTGAATAAAGAGTATATGACACATTGAAAATGTCTTTAGGTAGAGAGTGGTGCTATGGAGATATAAACTGATTTGAGGAAGGCCATCTTCCTGTTGTGCAGCATGATTGTAAGTACTCCTCCATTTCAGCCATCCTATTTCAATTTTATATGCTAAATCTTCATTTGTCGTGTTTCTCTTGCAATATCTAGTGCATTACATTCAAATGCTTTTGTCATTATTAAAAAATAGATATATAGATGCACTTGCTTTTTTGGGAATATTCATGAGATATTTGACTCACATTATGCTTGTCTATAAAATGCCTCTTTATACAAAATGCATTCCTCCAAGCATAGATGTTTCTTAAGGATTTTTATTTTTTGGTTCTAGACATTTTGCGTGAAATAAGGCCTGTCTTATATCGTCTTCTGCATTAGATAGTGTACCACCTATCTAAGCAAAGCATTCAGTAGCTGAGCTGGGCATTTTGCTTTTGATGGGCGTGAATGGTCCATTGGAATCACTTTCTGTTCCTCCTTTCACGTGCACGAGAATATGGACAAGGAAACACTCTCTTGGATCCTTATTTACTTTATTCTTTATGAGCTGCTTAACGACAAAAGATCTTCACAAGAGGCGTCACAAGCTATAAATGGCAGTAATAGTGACAGTAAAGTATTTTAACTGCTACCTGGTGCCAAAAGAGTAATCTGAGTTAACTCTTATTCCTGCTTATATTAGTGTTTGGATGTGTTCATTAGCAACATAAAAAGTTTGTCGGTGGATACTTCCTTCAACTGCTTTCCTTACTGAAAGTGGTGCTGCAGGAGCTGCCGATACTTAGACCTCTTCCAATAGACTGAGCAAATTCTGAAATAGTTTATTTGCTGGATACATCACCCTGTTTCCGAACTTCTTTCTGAAAAGGTCTTTCGTACAACTAGCCTATATTTTACAGTGCTAATTGATGAGAAAAATTAGCTTGTAGCTTATCTATCCGCATTAATTGCTTGTAAAGTTACAAATAGCATGTTTTGCTCCATATCATCTCAACAGTCTGTCTGCCGTAGTATTTCACATCTCTCGAATTTTCTCCTTTCTAATATCTTATGTTATGGTTAATTGTGCAGATTCTATTTGTCAATATAGTTGCAAAACGAAATTTATTTACTTTTTTGGAGTAATAGGCATCTCGTTCTTATGCTTACTAATACTCTAATAGTCTTGTATAAATGAAGTCAAGTTGATCTTCAAACATACAGGCTCTCTAGACTAGTGGGTGCAATCGAAATGCAGAACTTTCTTTCTGTTGTCGTTATTTGCACGAGATAAAATGTTGACAAATTAAACTTTAGACACATTACTTATCAAAAAGGAAAGATCTTTAGAGCTTAGACACATTCTTATTGCTGATATTTGACTCCTGGTGGAAAATCTTTTTAAGTAGAAATCTGCTAACTGAAGAAATATCTACTAATACATCATTGAATATATACAACAACAAAGAGGAGAAATATCATTTGTCCACTATCATTCTTTTCAAGATCGATATTACATTGTTTGTCCAGTATCATTCTTTTCTTGATCTATATACCCTGTATGCCTTTATTGAAAGGTCTATAATATAGTGCCTGCACTTAATCTTATTGTAATATTAGGTAAAACTTCACCTTCACATCTTGTCCGATGTTCTCTGCTTTTTCTAATCAGTGAAATAGATAGTACCTACTTAAAAGCTTCTTATATCTCACCTGGCTGCGTTGGGGTCACTACTGTTGCATCAAGATTTTGTGCCCTGAGAACTCCCATGGGTTATATTGCATCATCTTTGCTAAATCAGCATTCAATGTGAACTGTTGCTCTTTTTCTTAGTATCTTTTTTTTTCTACAAATATTTCTTGTCTTCGATATATAAACAAAGAGTTCTTTTCCTACTTTGTAAAATATCTCTCTTATTTTTGTGCGAAAGTAGGTATGCTCTTTAATAGAATCTATAAGTAAGCTATGTATCTATCCAGAAAGCTTCTTGTTGTATATGTTAGTTTCAATGACTAGCATTGGAGCATGCTAAAGGATGAACTTCTTGGAGTATTAGCAATATGTTTCATCCATGCTTTTGGAGTAATAACTGTGAACTTAAAAGTGGTTTTTCATTTCTAAATCTCCTTGTTCCTGTAATCTTCCAGTGAGGTTGCATTGGATTCCACAGCTTTTGAATGCACAAAAGTGTTAAACTACACTGCCCTCTCGCTAGATTGTCTTAATTAAAGGGCCATATCTAACTTTAAAAATAATCTGAGCTACCCTGTAGTTTCATATGCTGTTAGAAAAATGTTGTACCTTATGTTGGTTAGTTCACTATTGATTTTAATGGTATTGCCAAGTGGCTTTTTAAAGAACTCATATTGCTTGTATTCTCTATGTTATATCAAAGTACTTAATTTATGTTTTCTCCAGAGAAATCTTAATAGAAAGGGGATAATTGATCATTGAAAAATATGAAGTAATTAGGGGTCAGAAAATAATACATGTATGTCATTGTTTATTTATTTTACTAGTTCATTTCCAAGTAAAAACGAACGCATGAAACTCTAAATGTTGCTTCATCATTAACTAATATAAAGAAAAGAATATAGGAATGAACTAATTCATAAACTAACGGCAATAGGTAAACATACAGACCTGAGGTGAGGCCATGACATTGGTATTCTAGGGCGTTTCCCTAGCATTACCACTGTCCATCTTTTTCTTTTTCTTTCTTTTGTTTCTATTTTCATTCTCTTATTCTTCGCATTGCAACTTTACAGAGTATTGATAAACATTGTCTGTTTCATGCTATCTTATGTGACGAATTTCCAATGCCTGGTCTCAAACCACTCATCTTAATTTTGGCTTATATCCTTCTTCGCGACAGCTTCTGTTGGTAATTCTTCCTATTACTATTATTTGAATACCATGAAACAAGTGCATATTAGTGGATGAAAGATCATTTTAGATTACAAACAGCTATAAACTATGCCTTTTATAAAACTTAGTAAAGTTAGAACCAGATGAAGAAACTGACCAGGCAACATTAAAGTATCACAACAGAACTGCAAATCGATTCTCATAAAGTAATATAGATATGTTGATACTTTATTTCTCAGTGCTTATTCCTATGAACTTTTTTGTTTCAAACAACAGAAGTCTCTGAATTGCGACAACACAAGCAACACTCATACTTAAACTTCCAACAACCTTGAGCTTGGACCGAGTCCAGGAAAAAGCATTGCTTCAGCTGCATGGAGGTGGCTGAGGTTTCTTTGCTTTCATTTGGTCTGCAGCAGGACTGGGGCCAAGGGTAAGTTCAAGTTCAGGTATTTGATTAATTCTTGCTGCTGCTAGTTTCTGTTTTAGCTCAGTATACAAAGCCTGGTTCTCCTGTCTGAGCCGTTGAGCAGTCTTCCTTAGCCTGTCATTCTCCCTCATAATCTGAATATTCTGCCAGTACAGGTCTAAATTCTGTTTCTCCATAAATCAAATGCTTGAGTTGGCCTGAAACGGAAGAACCATCAAGAATTATGAAGGTGTTTGCATGATATATTTGGAAAACATAGCCTAACATAGTATGTAAAAAAGAGCAGATGATGAAATAGTAAACTTCTTCTCTTATCTATATATGCATGGCATAAGTTTATACGCAGCATTACAGAAAATTAAAAAGAAGTTATAGAAGATAGAGATGATCAAATAGTGATTTCCATGGTAAAAAAGAGATGGAATTGTAAATGAAAAACAACAATAAGATTGGATTCCAATCTGTCTCATGATATTTGAGTCAAGGAGAGCGAGAGTCTCTGGACATTTCATAGGGTACTCGATACACTTTAAGAAAATAACCAGCTCCAAAGAGGGGAAGCACATCATCATTTGATCAAAATAGGGGAATGGAATGAAGGAAAACTAGTTTTGGAAGAACACTAAAATTTTCTCTATATGGCATTTACTTACTATAGAGAACAGACTCCAAACCTTCAGATCAAAAGCTGTTAGGGACAACTGGTTTTGGTTGGAGTCTCTTTGCGATACGTGCTTATTTATACTATTATGTCACTTGTACGATGGACAAAGAAATACTAGAAGCAGCACACACGAGAATGGCGCGCCTTGTTCAAGAAATGCTCCAGAAACCAACTTGCAAAGCCCCCTTTTATTCTCCTTTATCCTCACATAAAAACACGTCACATTTTTAGTTAAGAATACACTTCATTGATGATTCTATTACAAGGAAAGAAGAATGTTGGTTTTTGCATGTGGATTTTGCTTGTTTAGTTATGCAAAATTTGTTAGAAAAAGCAGCATAAAATATGACATTCCTGAAGAAGCAAATGGCCTGAGTAAAGGGAGAAATAGCATGGGAGACAGCAAGAAAGTGATTTGTGAGAATTTTGATGTTCATGAGAGGAACCTGAATGTGAGTAGGAAAATAATAAGCATTCAATGACTTTTACAGAACTAACTCGTGTTTATTAAAGTGATTTGCCTAATGTTTGAGTAGATCAACAATAATTACAAGGAGTAGTATTTTAATACTAGTAACTAGTAAACTTTGGCTACCTTATGTGGTTTTTCCGGAATTACAAGAGAATCCCTTCATTTTTAGAACATCGCTGTTTAATTCATTACCTATAAAAGAGAATAATAAATGGTTTAAATAAAAAGAAAGAAACAGAGAAGGAAAATCTTGGGCAGCTGGTAAGAATGCAATAACTATTTTTCTTTGCTTATGTTTTGGAGAGTACTGGAATCCATTAAGTATTATTTTTCTGTGTTTTTATTTTGGAGAGCTTGAAAAACGTCGAAGGAAATTTTGAAATCTGTTACCAGCTAATTTTTGTTGAAAGTATTTTCGAATTACAATGTCACATTATAAGAAAGGGTCTTGAGTCATTTGTTGTTCACATGTTATAGATTAACAATAATACCATTCTTCCTTGATAACTATTTTGTGACTCAGGTATAAGTTATCAACCTTGTCTCAGGTAGCACTTATTTGCTTACATAGAGAAACGATGGGAACTTATTTTCTATGCCAAACTTGTAATTAGATAGCAAAGAAACCATATTCTTACAAAGCCACGGCAAGAACTTTTGGAGAAAACTGCATAGGTGCATTCAAATCCTTGAAGGCTGGCAGATATGATATAAAAATTTTATTTCTCATTGAATGTCATTTTTAAAGAGTCAATGGTCAGTGACCACCTAAAGGAAAATCAGCGCCATGTAGTTATTCTCTGTTTGACTATAAACCTTAGGTCAAAATAGAAATAATGGATGGGGTATTCTTTCTTAGTTTTCTGTAATTCCAATTGGTAACAATGGTTATTTTATTTATGAAGCTATCCAATTGCAATACGGATTCGATGTTTATGAATGAAACAGAAAATAAGTTTCAGTATAAATGCATATAGTTTTTCAATAATTAGAAGCCGTGTCGATAGTGCACTATTTATGAACTTATACTCTTGTGAATGAGGGTAAATTTTATCGGTGGTCATTCAACTTTGAGTTTGTAATACAGAAGTCCTTTTTCTATTTTTGTTACATAAAAATCATTTAACTTGAGTTTATAACACAAAGTCATTTCTCTATTTTTGGTCACATAAAAGTCATTCAACTTTGACAAGGTAACCAAAAAATAAATATCACCGAATTTTATATTTTATACTGAAAATATGACATAACACTCTAAATAAGTTTATTATACTTGGGATAATTTGAGAAACCTCTTTCCAGGTTTCGTTAATCCTTTTTTTTTTTTTTTTTTTTTTTTTTTCCAAAAGGGATAACTCAAATTAGAACCGTAACATAATCAAGTCATAGTAGACTCACAAACACTTGTTCTTGATTAAGACTAGATAGTGAATATCTATTACAAGAGTTCAATACTACATCTCAATTCATTTGAGATGGGTGATTCTTAAGCACAATGTGCCTTGGAGGGAAACATGCAATGGAAACACATTGGTGACAAAGTGGTATCTCTTATTCCTAGAATAAAAAGCATTCCAATTAAGTGGATGAAATCTAGGGATGGCAATGCGGCGGGGCGGGTGCGGGTGCGGGTGCGTGGCGAGTTTGGAAAAACCCACAAAAATTTCTGCCCGCCCCGCTTGGACCCGCCCGTCCCGCCCCACTTAATTTTTCTTTTCTTTTTCTTTAATTTTTTCCTAAAACAAAATAGTTTGACATTTTATTATTTTATAAAATGGAGGGTTTAATAAAATCACATAAACATAAAACTAAGAGAGTATTATGCTGATCTTCCAAAATAAATGGGTTACTATCATTTCCTATTACTAATACGATATCTTGACTTATATAATATCCTTTTGGTGAGACTTATGCAAATTGGTTAATTATAAATCAAATAAATTCTAAAATGCACATTTGGAATCAGAAAAATAGAGTATGAAATAAGGAAAGCATATATTTGATTCAGCGTAATTCATGTTAATTTACTTGATTATAGTTGTTACTTTCTGTTAATTACTTTAGTCTCGCATCTTAATTAGTGTTTGGTATGAGAAATTTTGGTCCATCCACATTTTCATACTCTCTTTTAATTAATTGCCCCAAAAATAGGTCCTGCTCATAAAAGACCAAGTTATTCTAAGATGCCAAGTTAGGAATTAAGATTGATTTTACGATGAAATGGATAAATTTAATTCAAGTCAGCTTTTTATATTAAATTAAAAAAATGTGAAATTGTAGTTGAAATGATTGCTTTGTTTTAAAAAAGCTAAAATTCCGCATTGAACCCGCATTAAACCCGCAACTCGCCCCGCCCCGCTTTGAAAATTTAAAAATTGTTTTAACCCGCCCCGCACCCACATATGAGTAAACCCGCCCCGCCCCGTATCAAACAAAACCCGCACCGCTCTGCCCCATTGCCATCTCTAATGAAACCTCCAGCAAACTGGATAAAAGTGAACATAGATGGGAGTAGTTTTAATGATGGAAGAACAGGAGCAGGGGGCATAGTAAGAGATCACGAAGCTAAGTTAGTGATGGCTTTCTCACAACAACTTGACATTGAAACAAATAATTATTCCGAGGCAAAGGCAGCTTGGTTTGAAGTTCATTGGTGTTTGAGTAATGGATATTTCAATATCATTCTTGAATGTGACTCCATGCTAATCATTCACATGTTGCAAGGAAAAACAAATATACCATGGCATCTACAACCGATTGTCAAACAAGTAAAGAAGATGGTTGAACAAGGTAACAACAATATTAAATTCAGTCATTGTTTTAGGGAAGGGAATCAAGTGGCTGATGTGATGGCAAAATTGGGAGCAAATGGATACGACATGGTGATTTCTGACCCTGGAGATTTACCTAGGCAGGCTTTGTGATGTTTAAGGTTGGATATGGCATATGCCATCTTTTAGTGCCTGTTGGAGTTGGATAAATTCATCGGAAGTGCACATAGGTCTGTAATAATAGGAAAAGGAGTATATTTTGTAAAGAGCTAATATAGTATTTTGTCATCTCAATGGATATGTCCATTTTAACTTGGAGGCATGACTCATGAACATGTACATTCTCCTTTTTGTTGTATTAGATTTTTTTTAAGCTATAGAGGGCACTGCCACCATACGGCAGAAACAATTAAAAAAAAATAAAAATACACCACCCTGGGTGTAGAATACTTAAATTTATCTTCACAAAATATACGCTTAAGGACGTATGACGGCTAGAGTTAAAAGAAATTCTCTGTATCTTGGGAGGGCAATTAGGTTGGGACCAAGGGACTCATCCGCTTAGTGAATATTCGTAGTTGAAAGAGATTCGCTTCTGCGACTTGAAGAAAATTCGTTACGTTAATAAGTTATCTTTGTTTTACGCATTACGCATTGTGAATACCGTATACGGTCGAAATCGGGTATGTCCGATTTCGCAGGCTCGAGGAATTGCCTCGAGAATAAGCTCAAAACGGACCTGGCTCGAGCCCCATGGCAGAGTATAGAAGTTGAGGATCGAAGTGCTCGTTGAAAACCAAGGCCGAGTATGACCAACCTCGAGTAAGGTAAAATAACGGAATGGCAAGATATAAGCAACCAACCGAAGGTTTCGGCGGAAATCTCATAATAGATCATACCAAGCGGTTATCAGCGCCAATCACGGGATTTATTTCCGTTATTAGAGTTATACCTTATTTAGGATTCCTCTACTATATAAAGAGGGACCCCATTCATTTGTAATAATGACACATTCCCTGATAAATAATACACACGCTTCTCTCTGTTTACTCATTATTCTCCATTGTTCTTTATTGTTCTTGCTGCTTGATCTTGAGACTGTTTCGAATCGAGGTCGATACACTGCCACATCAGTAGTTTGATTTGTTTTATCTTCTAATTCATTTACTTAATTCATTATTTATCAATTGGTATTGAATTAAATCACGTATCCTTAAAACCACAATACAAGTTTAATTGTTACTCAAATTTTAGGGTAAACAGTTTGACGCCCACCGTGGGGCTAAGGATAATAGTGATTGTTTCAATGCTGATTCTGATAACACACGTTATTTTCACACTTGTTCTTGTCAAGTATTTTTGCTCTCAAGTTAAAGCATGTCAAACTCACAAAACGCACCAGTACATGATGATGATGGTCTCGGATTTCACGGGGAAAACGACAATGTAATTGCCCCAGGAGCCGGGGTGCCACTGGCTAATCTCGGGGGAGTACTGGTCGCCAATCCCGTCGACATCAATTCGCACGTTGCTCTAATGCGGACCTAGGCGCGGACCCCGAAGGGAGTATACGCAGGGAAGGCCGATCTGGTGGCCAAGGTACACAGGGCAGAGAAGACGGGAGAGTTAGTCTCCAGGTAATATTCGAGATGTTGCAGGCTCAGCAGGCCGCTATTGCTCATCTTCAAAGTCAACATAGAACTCCGAGTGTGGTCGAGCTGGAGATCACCTGCCGTACCGAGCCAGTGCCAGAAAGGTCGAATGGTAACGGATCAGGGACTGACCCTACAATTATGAAAATGCTCGAGGAGCTCACCAAAAGAATTGAGTTGGCGGAGAAGAAAATCTAAGATAATGATAAAAAAGTGGAAACATATAATTTCCGAGTTGATCAGATACCGGGGGCACCCCCGATCTTGAATGGGTTGGATTTAAAAAAGTTCGTGCAAAAGCCTTTTCCTCAAACCGTTGCTCCAAAGCCTATTCATAAGAAGTTCCATATGCCGGATATACCTAAATACAACGGGACCACCTATCCTAATGAACACATCACTTCGTACACATGCGAAATTAAAGAAAATGACTTAGATGATGATGAGATTGAGTCCGTTATGCTGAAAAAATTTGGGGAAACTTTTTCAAAGGGAGCAATGATTTGGTATCACAACCTACCGCCAAATTCCATCGATTCATTTGCCATGTTAGCAGATTCTTTCGTGAAGGCACACGCCGGGGCCATAAAGGTCGCAACTAGAAAATTGGACGTTTTTAAGATAAGACAAAGGGAAAACGAAATGCTAAGGGAGTTCGTATCCCGATTTCAAATGGAACGCATGGAGTTGCTACCGGTCACAGATGATTGGGCCGTTCAAGCTTTCACCCAATGGATAAACGAGCGGAGTTCGATAGCATCACGACATTTGAAACAAAATTCGGTCAAGTATCCAGTTGTAACTTGGGCAGATGTGCACAATCGATATCAATCGAAGATCAGGGTCGAGGACGACCAATTATGAGCCCTTTCCGGTTCAGTATATCCAAATAGGTTAGCAGTTAAAACCCCGAGGGACGTCGACAGGGAACCAAGTTCGCACAGGGAACGATATCAACCAACAACAACAACAACAACAACAAACCCAGTTTGATCCCAACATATGGGGTCTGGGGAGGGTAGTCTGTACGCAGACCTTACCCCTACCTAATGCAGGTAGAGAGGCTGTTTCCAATAGACCCTCGGCTCAGGAAGGGCAAGAAGAAAAAGAGGGAAGCAAGGAAGGAAAACAGTATCCAATAATAGCAACACGGAATACAATACCTGAGGCGAACAAAATCACATGCAGTGATAAAAAGCAAAGAATATGAAGGGAAATGCATGCTATTAAACCTATCCGTGAACACTATAAACTACCTACTAACCTTCTACCTTAATCCTCGACCTCCACACCCTCCTATCAAGTGTCATGTCCTCAGTGAGCTGAAGCAGCGCCATGTCCTGCCTAATCACTTCTCCCCAGTACTTCTTAGGCCTACCTCTACCCCTCCTCAAACTCTCCATGGCCAACCTCTCACACCTCCTGACAGGGGCATCAATGCTTCTTCTCCTATCATGTCCGAACCATCTCAGCCGTGACTCCCGCATCTTGTCCTCCACGGAGGCTACTCCCACTCTGTCCCGGATAGCTTCATTCCTAATTCTATCTCTCCTGGTACACCCACACATCCATCTCAACATCCTCATCTCTGCTACTCTCATCTTCTGCACGTGGGAGTTCTTTACTGGCCAACACTCAGCCCCATACAGCATAGCGGGTCGAACTACCACTCGATAAAACTTACCCTTAAGTCTTAACGGCACATTCTTATCACATAGAACACCGGAAGCGAGCCTCCACTTCATCCACCCCGCTCCGATGCGATGTGTGACATCTTCATCAATCTCCCCGTTACTCTGGATAATAGACCCGACATACTTAAAACTCGCTCTCTTGGAGATAAGTTGAGCATCAAGCTTAACCTCTACGTCTGCATCATGGGTCTTACTGAATTTGCACTCCAAGTATTTGGTCTTGGTTCTACTTAGTCTGAAACCTTTAGACTCCAAGGTCTGTCTCCAAAACTCCAACCTCGCGTTAACTCCGCTACGCGTCTCGTCTATCAACACTATATTATCAGCAAATAGCATGCACCAAGGAATCTCCCCTTGGATGTGACGCGACAGTACATCCATCGCCAAGGCAAACAAAAATGGGCTAAGAGCCGATCCCTGGTGCAACCCCATCACCGCAGGGAAATGGTCCGAGTCATCACCCATAGTCCTCACCCGAGTCTTAGCGTCATCACACATATCCTTAATCACCCTAATGTACGCTACCGGAACGCCGCTAACCTCCAAACACCTCCACAGGACCTCCCTCGGAACTTTATCGTATGCCTTCTCAAGGTCAATAAACACCATATGTAAATCCTTCTTCCTTTCCCTTTACTGCTCCACTAAACTCCTTACCAGATGAATCGCTTCCGTAGTCAAAGGCCTCGGCATGAATCCAAACTGATTCACGGAAATAGACACGCACCTCCTTACCCTGGCCTCCACCACTCTCTCCCAAACCTTCATAGTGTGACTCAATAACTTGATACCTCTATAATTGTTGCAATTTTGGTTATCACCCTTGTTCTTGTAAAGCAGAACCATTTTACTCCACCTCCATTATTCGGGCATCTTCTTTGCCTTAAAAATAACATTAAACAGCCTAGTGAGCCACTCCAAACCTGCCCGCCCCGCGCTCTTCCAGAATTCCACCGGGATTTCATCTGGCCCCGCTGCTCTACCCGTGCACATCTTACGTATCGCTCCTTCCACCTCCTCTACCGTAATCTGCATGCAGTACCCAAAATCCCGCCGACTCTCGGAGTGCTCCAACTCACCCAGCACAATGCATCTATCCCCCTCCCCATTCAACAGTTTATGGAAGTATGTCTGCCATCTTCTCCTAATGAGTGCCTCGTCCATCAACACTTTACCATCCTCATCCTTGATGCACTTGACGTGGTCTAAGTCACGGGCTTTCCTCTCCCTCATCTTGGCCAACCGGTACAACCTCTTGTCCCCACCTTTGCCCTCAAGCTCCTCGTACAAGTGAGCAAATGCTGCGTTCTTAGCCATCGTAACTGCTAACTTTGCCTCTTTCTTTGCCTTTATGTAACACTCCCGATAAGTCCTTTTTTCCTACTCGTTTTTACTCTCTACTAGCTTCAAATAAGCAGCTTTCTTAGCTTCCACTTTACCTTGAACCTCTCCATTCCACCACCAGTCCCCTTTATGACCCCAGGAGAACCCTTCGTGACCCCTAAGACCTCTCTAGCAGCTACCCTAATGCAATCCGCAGTCACGGAACACATACTAGACGCTTCCCCCATACTCATCCAGGCCCTCATAGCCAACAACTTCTCCCCTACCTCCCGAGCTTTGTCCTTGGTCAAGTTACCCCACTTGATCTTAGGTTGCCTGCACCCCGCCCTCTTCCTCCTACTCCTCTTGATCTCCAGGTCCATAACTAGGAGCCTATGCAGAGTCGTGAGGTGCTCAAGCGGGATGACCTTGCAGTCAGTGCACAGACCTTTATCGCTTTTCCTGCAGAGAAGGTAATCAATCTGAGTCTTGCCCATTGAATTTCGAAAAGTGACCACGTGCGCTTCCCTCTTCGGGAAACTCGAGTTAGCTATAACCAATTCAAAAGCTCTAGCAAACTCCAACAGTGAATTACCGCCCTCATTCCTATCCCCAAAATCGTACCCACCATGCACATCATCATAACCCCTAGAACTAGCCCCAATATGACCATTGAAATCTCTGCCAATGAACAACTTCTCTGTGTGCGGGATACTACGCACCATCTCGTCCAAATCATCCCAAAATTGCTTCTTGACCTCCTGGTTCAAACCTACCTGAGGAGCGTATGCACTAATCATGTTTACAATAAACCCACCAACTACCAACTTAATACCCATCAACGATATCAACCATATACCGTAGATTGAAGGAACAATGGCTCGGGACTCAATCCCTCCCGAAATGATCGAAGGAACGATCGAGGATAAAATTCTCGGGGACTTATGAGTAAAAGCGGTTTTGATAAGAATGCTGATCCCGTAGAGGCACCTAGGTTATCAGAATATAACTTTAGCGTCGATGCATCAGGCATTGTATCAGCAATCGGAAGGATCAAAGATACTAGATGGTCCAGACCTATACAAACCGATCCTTCCCAAAGAAACCCAAATTTGATGTGCAAGTATCATGGCACGCATGGTCACAAGACCGAGGATTGCATGCAATGAAGGGAAGAGGTAGCCCTTCTATTCAAAGAGGGCCATCTTCGAGAGTTCCTTAGCGATTGAGCCAAGAATCATTTCAGGGACAGAGACGCCAACAGGAAAAATGAACAACATGTCATTCATATGATCGTCGCGGGGTCGATATTCCACAAGGGCCCGTGTTCAAAAGTACTAAGGCATCAATTACTAGCGAGAAGCGGAACCGGGATTATGTACCGAGGACTCCTTATCATTCAACGACGAAGAAGCAGAAGACATTTCTCAACCACACTATGACGCTCTGGTAATTTCTATCTTATTAAATAAAGTTCAAGTTAAGCGTGTTTAGTGGATCCAGGTAGCTAGGCGAATATCATCCGATCGAGGGTCATGGAGCAACTCGGCCTACAAGATCAAACTGTGCTCGCAACTCGAATCTTAAACGGCTTCAACATGGCCAGTGAAACGAATAAAGGGGAGACTACTCTACCGATAAACGTGGCTGGAACCATTCAAGATACCAAGTTCCACGTGATCGAGGGCGACATGTGATACAATGCCCTACTCGGAAGGTCATGGATTCACAATATGAGGGCAGTCCCTTCGACTCTCCACCAAATGATGAAATTCCCAACGTTGGACGATGTGAAAACAGTGTACGGGGAGCAGCATGCTGCAAAGGAAATATTTGCAGTCAACGAGGTAGTACCAGTATCGATAGAAAGGTCGGACATCAAAGGTAAACAGGAAACCAAATAGCAATCACAACCACCAGCCTCGACCGGATCGGGAAAGTAGGAGATAGAAGAAGAAGAAGAGGAGGATTTTCTAACCCCTCGAACCTTTATTGTTCCCGAAGACTCCGACGCCACCAAATCAACGGTCAAAAAGCTGTAACAGGTTATATTGATAGAGTACATGCCCGAGCGAAAGGTATACCTGGGAACGGAGTTAACCCCCGAACTCAGGAAAAAAATTATTCAATTTCTTATTAATAACATGGATTGTTTTGCTTGGTCCCATTTAGACATGATAGGGTTCCCACCAGAGATAACAACACATCGTCTAAGCCTTGTCCCCAGGTTCAAACCGGTGAAACAAAAGAGAAGGTCCCAGTACGATGTAAAGCACACATTCATATAGGATGAGGTAACTAAACTTCTCAAAATAGGGTCTATTGGGGAGATGAAATACCCCGAATGGTTAGCCAACGTAGCCGCAGTCCCTAAAAAGGGAACAAACTTGGGATGTGTTTAGATTATAAGGATTTGAACAAGGCATGGCCTAAAGATTCTTTTCCACTGCCTAACATTGATCGCATGATCGATGCTACGGCTGGCCACGAGATCTTTACCTTTCTCGATGCCTATTCCGGGTAAAATCAAATTCAGATGAACCTAGGAGACCAGGAAAAGACCTCATTTATCACCAAGTATGGAACATATTGTTATAATGTAATGCCCTTCGGCCTAAAAAATGCAGGAGTTACTTACCAACGCCTAGTAAATAAGATGTTCGAAGAACAAATAAGCAAGACAATGGAAGTTTATATTGATGACATGCTAGTTAAGGCCCTACGCGCAGAGGACTATTTGGCTCATTTGCAGGAAACGTTCGAGATCTTAAGGAAATATAACATGAAACTCAAACCCGATAAATGTGATTTCAGGGTTGGTTCGGGCAAATTCCTGGGCTTCATGGTGTCGAATCGGGGGATCGAGATCAACCCCGATAAAATCAAGGCCATCGAGGACATCACCGTCATAGACAGTGTAAAAGCCGTGCAAAGGCTTACTGGACGGATAAATGCTTTAGGCCGATTTATCTCGAGGTCATCGGATCCGCCACAAATTTTTCTCTTTACTTAAAAAGAAGAACGATTTCACCTGGACCCCGGAGTGCCAATAAGCATTAGAGGGATTAAAGCAATACCTGTCGAGCCCACCACTGCTTCACACTCCGAAGGCAGATGGGAAACTTTACTTATACTTAGCAGTATCGGAAATCGTGATAAGTGGTGTCCTAGTTCGAGAAGACCAAGGTACGCAATTTCCCTTTTGCTATGTAAGTCGAACCTTAGGAGAATCAGAAACTAGATATCCACACATAGAGAAATTAGCACTTGCACTAATAAGCACTTCTAGAAAGTTAAAACCATACTTCCAATGTCACACCATATGTGTGTTAACCACTTACCACTTTCTAATATTTTTCACAAGCCCGAACTTTCGGGTCGATTGGCCAAATGGGCCATCGAACTCAGTGGGTACGATATTGAGTATCAACCCCGAACGGCCATCAAGTCTCAAGTTTTAGCGGACTTCGTGGTCGATTTCATGCCAACCCTCGTACCTGAAGTTGAAAAGGAACTTTTTTTAAAATCGGGCACATCATCGGGGGTATGGACCCTTTTCACAGACAGTGCTTCTATTGTGAAGGGGTCCGGGCTAGGCATCGTTTTGAAGCCACCCAAAGGTAGCACTATTAGGCAGTCTATCAAAACTTCTAGGTTGACTAACAATGAGGCCGAGTATGAGGCCATGATTGCAGGTCTCGAGCTAGCTAAAAGCTTGGGGGCAGAAGTCATTGAAGCCAAGTGTGACTCTTTATTGGTGGTGAACCAAGTAAACAAAAGCTTCGAAGTTCGAGAAGATAGAATGCAAAGGTATTTGGACAAGCTATAGGTAACTTTGCACCGCTTCAAGGAGTGGACTCTAGACCATGTACCTCGAGAACAAAATAGTGAGGCTGATGCACTTGAAAATTTGGGGTCATCGATCGAGGAAGACGAGATCAGCCCAGGGATTGTCGTCCAACTATCAAGATCTGTGATCGAGGAAGGTCATGCCGAAATAAACTCTACAAGCTTGACCTGGGATTGGAGGAATAAATATATCGAATATTCAAAAAACGGAAAAGCTCCCATCGGACCCTAAAGAGTCGAGGGCCCTTCGAACCAAGCTGCTCAATTCACATTGGATGAAGATGGAACATAATATAGAAGGACATTCGATGGACCACTGGCGGTATGTTTAGGGCCGGCGGACACCGATTATGTTTTACGAGAGGTCCATGAAGGCATTTGTGGGAACCACTCCGGCGCCGAATCTTTGATTCACAAAATCATTAGAGCAGGGTACTACTGGGATAGCATGGAAAAAGACACTAAGGATTTTGTTCGAAAATGTGATAAATGTCAAAGGTTTCCATCAGCTTAGAAAGCAACTTCATTCAGTCTTATCCCCATGGCCATTCATGAAATGGGGGATGGATGACATCGGCCCTCTGCCAACGGCCCTAGGTAAAGCTAAATTCATTTTGTTTATGAATGACTACTTTTCTAAATGGGTGGAAGCACAGTCCTTCGAGAAGGTCAGAGAAAAAGAAGTTATAGACTTCATCTGGGACCACATCGTGTGTCAATTCGAGATACCTGCCGAAATAGTATGTGACAACGGAAAGCAATTGGTCGGTAGCAAGATAATGGAGTTCCTCGAAGAACAAAAAATAAAAAGGATCTTATCGATACCGTATCACCCAAGCGGAGATGGGGCCGAATCGACGAACAAAACTATCATATCAAAACTTAAAGAAAAGGTTGAACGATGCTATGGTGAAATGGAGAGAAGTTCTACTCGAAGTCCTTTGGGCTTATCGAACGACATCGAAGTCCAGCACGGGGGCAACCCCGTTCTCCTCAGTATATGGCTTCGAGGCCTTAATTCCAGTTGAGGTCGGGGAACCTAGCGCCGGATTTCAACATGCAATGGAGGAATCAAATCACGAGGCTACGAATACTAGCCTCGAACTATTGGATGAAAAACGAGAAGCTACGCTTGTTCGGATGGC